ATGAGGGGTCTGCTGTCTCTAACTTTGTCCCCAGATGATCCGCTCAAAGACTTTGGGCGAGAAGCTTGACTTCTCAGCGACATAGGGTTGTGTTTTTTTTTTAATATGTAAAATGCGGAATATTTGTCCCAACTCCCCTGGCTTGGTAAAGCAGCAGGGCAGCAAAACAGAGGAAGACCTTCGACGAGATGGATCGGCACAGCGGCTGCCTCGATGGGCTCAAACATCAGGGCAATCGTGAGGCTGGCCCCGGGCCCAGGCCGTGTTCCGTTCTGCTGTTGTCATGATAGTGGACTGTGCATTGAACTGCTCACTACAAGATCCGTGGTTCAAACCCACCCAGGAGACTGTCTGCTCTTGTGAAGATTTTAGGCTTAGATGCCCAAAGGGAGCAGTTCTGCTTTGTCCTGTAGGGTTCCTTTGAGTGGTAATCTACTTGATGCCAGTGAGTGTGCTTTGGGGTTTTGAACCAATCCAGTCTAGTCAATGTAGTTAGAAATAGGTGGCTAGAATAATTTCCAAATTATCAAGGGCGGGGGTGGGGGCAATGAGGAGCTGATACCAAGGGCTCACGTAGAAAGAACATTTTTTAAATGATGATGGCAACAAATGTACAAATGTGCTTGACACAATAGATGGATGGCTGGAATTTGAAAAGAGCTGTATGAGCCCCCAGTTCCATGATTTTAAAAAACAAAAAAGAAATAGGTGGCTAGAGAGTGATCATGATAAAATAGTAAATGTGCTTGAAAAGAATTGAGACACTGAAAACTTCTCAGTGTGTGTATGTAAATGTAACATAATTCAAAAAACCAAGCTCATTGCCATTGATTGAGTCTGTCCCTCCTGTAGCCACCCTAGAGCTCCACTGGGTTTCTTTTCAGGAGCCGCCTCGTCTTTCTTCTGAGGCGTGGCTGGTGGGCAACCCAATGTAATATAATGCGCACGTGTAAAGATGCATTTGCAAGACTGTTTATCATGCTGTTGTTTATAATGGTGAAATTTTTAAGGTAACATTGACTACTAACTCAAAAACTCACTACCATCAAATCCAACTCATAGCAAACCCTATAGGACAAGGTAGAACTGCCCCTGTGGGTTTCTGAGACTAACTGTTTATAGGAGTAGAAAGCCTCATCTGTCTCCCACTAAGTGGATAGTGGTTTCAAACTGCTGACCTTACGGTTAGCGGCCCAATGTGTAACTACTATGTCCACAGGGCTATTAAAAAACAAGTTACAGAAGACTACTTTTATATTTGGGGAAATGTATACTATAGAGTAAGTGGATTGTTTTGTTTTGTTTCCCTTTAAAGGATAAAAAATGTGCCGTGTCACAATTTTGTAAGTCTTGAAAAATATAGGGAAAAAACCATGAAATTTTCACAAAAATATTAGCAGAAGTGTTGGTCCCCATTTCCCCAGCAAACACCTATTTTCTCCAGAAAACAGTGGTAAAAGCTGTCTGTTTTATTCTTTAGGATTCTGTGAGATGGTTTTCTGCTGTGAGGCTCTGCAGTGAACTTTTGTTTGTTTTGGTTTTGCTTTTTTCTGAATACATCTCCATTAATAACCCAGTCTTGTTGTTTTCTGTAAGCACTGACCTAGAAAACATGTGCCTCACTGCTTTCATACACTATCTTGTTAATGTGGTACTGAGAACAGACCCAATCCATTTGTTGCAAGATTGATTTGTTACCCCAAAAACCAATAGCAGATAATGAGAAAGAATCACCAACTAATGAATCCTTGCCTAAGCGCGTCACTTTTCTGTTGAAAAGCAATTTTCAGCTCTGCCTGAGCTTTCAGCCAACTCCCCAGATCGCTCCACGTTATGACTCCCTGTCTTCCTTGATGTAATTATAACTGCGCCTTTCGGAGCCGAGGAAATGGTGCACTTGAAGCTAACATCTAACTTTTTAAAAAGGTGGCTGTCTACAAATTCAAATCAAAGGAAAGTTGACTGAGTAAACCGAAGTTTTGCTGACCTTCTTTTCTGGTTGTGGTTTGAAGTCACTTTTCAAAAGAATATTATAATGTGGAATCTGAAAAGTTGGGCACCACTTTGTGCCCAAGAGATGTTCTATTATCTGGGTTGGGGGGTGGGGAATTTGATGTCCTTTTAATTTATTTTTAAGAACTACTGCCACATGTGCATCAAGAATAAAAGTAACATATGGCAATAAAAATATTATTTAAAAAATAAAATAAAGTTAGCCAAACACAGATCTATGTAGAGAAGATAGACTGGATAAACTATCTGGAGAAGAAAACAATGGGACCAATGGTTTCACAGTGACATGGGAGAGGGGGAGGGAGGGAAAGGAAGTGGTGTTAACCAACCCAGGGACAAGTGAAAAATAAATGATCCAAATGGTGGCGAGGAGGGTGTAAGAGGCCTGGTAGGGCTTGATCAAGGGCAGTGTAACTGAGAGGAATTAGTGAAACCCAAATGAAGGCTGAGCATGATACTGGGACAAGAGAAAAGTATAAGGAGATAGAGGAAAGAACTAGGAGGCAAAGAGAATTTATAGAGATCTAAATACAGGCATATACATATGTAAATATATTTTATGTGATGATGGGGAAATAAATCCATGTGCATATATTTATAGATTTATGTATTAAGGTAGCAGATAGACATTGGGCCTCCACTCAAGTACGCCCTCAATGCAAGAACGCTTTGTTTTATTGAACTGGCATTCCATGGTGCTCACCTTCCCAACACGATCCCTGAAGACAGAGTGGGTGCATAAGCAAATGTGGTGAAGAAAGCTTATAGTGCCCGGTTATCAAAAGATATATCATCTTGGGTCTTAAAGGCTTGAAGGTAAACAAGCGGCCTTCTAGCTCAGAAGCAACAAAGCCCACATGGAAGAAGCACACCAGCCTGTGTGATCACGAGGTGTCAAAGGGATCAGGTAGCAGGCATCAAAGACCAAAAATCATATCATTGTAAATGACGAGGAGTGCAGATTGGAGACCCAAAACCCCTCTGTGGGCAACTGGACATTCCCTTACAGAAGGGTCATGGGGAGGAGACGAGCCAGTCAAGGAACAGTATAGCAACGATGAAATGTACAACTTTTCTCTAGTTCTTAAATGCCTCCTCCCCGCCTTATCATGATCCCAATTCTACTTTACAAATCTGGCTAGACGAGAGGATGTACACTGGTACAGATAGGAACTGGAAACACAGGGAATCCAGGACAGATGAACCTCTCAGGACCAGTGGTGAGAGTGGTGATACCAGGAATGTGGTGTAGAAAAGGGGAACCAATTACAATGATCTACATATAACCCCCTCCCTGGGGGATGGACAACAGACAAGTGGGTAAAGGGAGACGTCAGTGTAAGACATGAGAAAATAATAATAATTTATAATTATCAGAGTGAGGGTGGGAGAGAGGGGAAAAAATGAGGAGCTGATACCAAGGGCTCAAATAGAAGGAAAATGTTTTGAGGATGATGGCAACAGATGTACAAATGTGCTTTACACATGGATGTATGTATGGATTGTGATAAGAGTTGTACAGCCCCCAATGAAATGATTTTTAAAAACAAGCAAGCTTCACTCTATAGTACTCCTGCCATGCCAAACATACCAAAGAAAATCCATTAATAACTGGGATTATGGCCAGAGACATAGATGTTAGGATTTTATTTTGATGGGGGAGGGACATAATTTAATCCATAACATTCACCCTTAATCCCTCTCTGCATTTCTTTTCCCTGATGGTTAGCAATGTAAGGCAGGGAACCAGTAGGACCTTTTCTTTCTCTATAAAGTATTGTTAGTCTGCGTACATTAGAGAAATAAATTCACGGACACTCATATGTTTAAGAGAGAGTTTTATATAAAGGGTAAGTGCACATCAAGAAAACATCCCAATGCAGGGCTTCCCAAGCCCACAAGTCCAACATTAGCCCATATGTCCAACACCAATCCACAAAGTCCTCCTTCATCTCACAAAACACACACTATGATGCCAACTGCAGGAGGAAAGCCAAATCAGTGAGTAAGTTTCTCAGCGCTGGCAAAGGTCTCCACACGAGTGCTCCAGCACCCAGGGCTGCATCAGTGTAAGTCCACGCAGCTTCTCATCAGGGATGTCGTGCAGGAAGTGAGCCTTGCCAGCTGAAGCAGGGAACTGGCTAAGGCAGCTACACCCTGGTCTGACCATCAGAGAGCAAGAGACCCGAGAACTCGAAAGGCGAGGCTCACCGAGCCATTTATCCCTCTGCCCTTTAGTTAACCCCACATGTGTTTATCGGCCAGGTTGGCACAATAAACTTTAACTACCTCACGTATCAAAATGGTCTATGCATGGAACAGAGTGCACATCCGTTCTGCTTCTGAAAATGGAAAACTAAGACCCTGAGAGTTAGACAAGTGGTGTTAGACACATGAGTGATGTCAGACAAGTGGTGTTAGACACATGAGTGATGAAAAGGGTTACGGAGCTGAGGAGCTGATGCCAGGAGCTGACGTGGAGAGCAAATGCTTTGAGAATGATGAGGGTGATGAATGTACAAATGTGCTTTACACAATTGGTATATGTATGGATTGTGATAAGAGTTGTATGAGCCCCCAATAAAATGACAAAATATCAATAAATAAAAATAAAATGGCAATAGGAAAAAAAAATGTTAAGGAGCGCCACTGCTCATTAACGGGTTGGGGGTTCAAATCCACGCTTCTCAAATTCCTGAGAAGCCACTTGGTGATCTCCTTTCAGAAACCCGGCCTTTGCAAATCCTACAGGTGAGCACAGTTCCACTGGGAACCCCGCATGAGAGTTCCACTGATCAGAATCAGTTCCATTTTCTAGGAGCTAGAAGTGCCGGACAGTTCTTCCTACCAAGAAAGAGCGCAAAGACTTGTCCATTGGGCATAGAATTGGGTTAACAACCTGCACAATGTTGAATGGCTTTCAAATAAATATAGTTGTAGAGGAGGCCCACCCTTGAGTCACCATGCCTTTCGTTGCTTTGTTTCAGAGCGTCAGCTAGGTACCTCCATGGCCAGTTCCAACGCCCTCGCTTCAAGTACAGCTGGGATCAGCAAGGAACTGATCGACCTGCAGGCCCTCATCCAGTTCCCAGAAGAAGTTGCCAGCATCCTGACGGAGCAGGAGCAGACTATCTACCGCAGGGTCTTACCCGTTGACTACCTTTGCTTCTTAACCCGGGATTTGGGGGCTTCGGAATGCCAGCAGTCCCTCCCCTGCCTCAAAGCGTCCATCTCAGCATCGATTCTGACACCCCAGAATGGAGAGCACAATGCCCTTGAGGATCTTGTAATGAGATTTAATGAGGTAAGACGTCACTTTGAGATAGTTTGGTCACTGAATAGACGATAAATTATGCTTACGCATGTTAATAGTATCAACTATCTCCCTGTCTTGCTACTGCATGATGGTTGTTTTTCTTCCCGGGCAATAAGGTAGACACTCCACATTGTCATCCCCCCTCACTTCACTGCGACCACTACTGACGCCTGATTGATCCTGTCTCCTTCCTCTGTCATTACCAAGGCCATCCATCTTTCTGCCTTGGATAAGCAGACTTTCAATATCCACTTCCACCTGAGTATTGCCAAAATATTCTGTCTGGGACCAATTTCAAATATTCGACCCCCTTGTTCCCACAGGTGCTTTTAAGGCTAGATGTCTCAATTTTCAGTTTGGAAAACATGATCCTTGGCCACATCTCTCTGTGTAGCCTCTCAGGCCAGGCTTGGAGCACGCTGTCATAGCTGTTGAGTCTGATCCAACTCACGGCCTTGCCATTTGTGTCAGAATCGAACTGCATGCCATCGGGTCTTCAAGGACTGGTCTTCCAGAACTCTACCACCAGGTCTTTCTTCCAGACTGGTTCTGGGTGGATTTGAACTGCAAACGCCTATGTTAGTAACTTAGCACTTTACTGTGTGCATCATCCACGTACCATGTTGTGGGGTGGTGTGTGTTAGAACTGTAGATTGTGGTCTCACCCCAAGCTGAATCAAACAGCCTCTCTGGGAGTCCACAGGAAAGCTTGCAAATCAGACTGCTCTGCTAGTTGCTTTTTAAAATAAGCATTCTGGTGTTCTTGATTTTCTTTCCTGATAAAAAATAGAGTAGAAACTGAAAGTTCCAGCAAATTGAATGATGTTACTAGAGATTTTTATTGGTGAGTTTTAATGTGTTTTTTTGTTTTGTTTTGTTTTGTTTTGTTTTTAGTAATCCCACCTGAACTTAAGAGTGATTTTACTGGACCTTTAAAATCTAATTTTAAATTAATTCTGGAGGAAGAAATCTTGGACTTCTTACCCTCCCCACCATAAATTTTGGAATCAAATATAAATCAGTGATTTCACTAATTCAGAGTTAGTGATATCATGAATCACAGCTGGGTTGAAGCAAGTTTTTGACTATCTCTGAAAATAGTTTAGCTAACCAACTACAGAACATAAACAAGGTTTCTGGGAAAACACTTAAACTACTTAAGAGAACAGTTTGTTTTCAAGTATTCTCAAGCATCTATTTTCATACAAATAATGGATATGCTGCTTAGAAATTAGTCTTACATAGTCATTAAAGGCCAATCCCAATGATCTTCACTAGGCATCCCTGGGGTAACTAAATTCTAGTTGTTTGATATACTTAAGGGTAACAAAAAAACCCTGCACTTAATTCAAAGAACTATAACCCAAACCCACGGCGATTTAGTCAGTTCTGCCTCATAGCTACCAAATCGCACAGAATAGAGCTCCTTCCTTGGGTTTCCAAAACTATAAGTCTTTATGGGAACAGACAGCCTCCTTTCTCCCATAGAGTGGCTACTGGGTCCAAACTGTTGACCTTACAAAGGGTAGCAACTCATTACTTAACCTTTATTGCATTAAAATAGGGTTCTTAAATTCAAGTTGTCCTTGCTTCCAAATTAGGATGGCTTTATTCTTGTAACATAAGGGAAGGGAAGGTATTGGTGTTTGTTTACTAGGTGCTCTGCACTGAATAGTTTCACATTTTTAAATCCCACTAATTCCTAAGGCAGTTGTCATTATCCCTGTCTCACAAATGCAGAAAGTGCTGTTGAGAAAGGGAAATTATATGAGTCTAGGCCAGCTACGAGCCACAATATATGAACGGTTGACTTCTGCAGATTAAACTCTTAAGTGACAGGATACTGTTTATACAAATAATGGAAGTTGGTGTTAAGGCAAAACTTTCAATACCATTCACTCACAATGGCAGAGCCACACCTACCAGATTAATACATATCATAATGAAGAAGAAGGGCATTACAATAATAAGTATATGGTAGTTCTGGGCCACCATTCATTGGGCACCCTCAACTAAAGTCCATTGTCCGCCCGTTCTGTACCCTTGGGATAGAAGTCATCTTATCTGCTTCTCCCACTAGGGAGTTTCAGCCTTAAGTCTAAGAGCTACAGGTGAGCAATTAGTTCTATTGACACAGCCCTGCTTGATTCTCACCCTCATGAAGAGATCACAGAAGATATGGGGGCTATAGCAAAGTGTGGTGAAGAAACTAGATGGTGCCCGGCTATCAAAAGGAATGGTGTCAGGGGTCTTAAAGGCTGTCTTCAAACAAGCAGCCATCTAAGTGAGCCATGGAAGAAACACACTGCCTTGCATGATCCAAGGACTATAAATAATAAAATCCAAGTCTGAAGGAGGGAATGGCATAAGAGCTTAAATTGTGAACACCTGGTTTGCAGAAGGCTATGGATGACAGTGCAAGCCCAAGATCGATGTGCAGGGTCCACACATGGATTAAGCCTCCAGTGACTCCCATCGGATCATAGTTGAAGGATGTGAATAGCCTTGTTATCAGACAGAGAGGACTATAAAGTTGAGTATGGCAGACATAGTCAGCTTACCACGTGGTCTCCCTTTTGACCCATTTTAAAGGTGTGTTTTTTTCCAATTAAAAAAAATGAAGAGGAAAAGATAAATAAATAAATTAGAATGACGAGGAAATACAGGTGTATTAAGCCTTTAGTTAATTCCGTCTAACCACAGCATGGGTGTGAACAGACTTGCTGTCATGCAGAATGCTTTGGAAAGTAGATGCTTGCAGATGCAGTTAGGGTAAAATTTAACACCTTATCATTTGCTCTCCCTTTTGATCCATTTTAAATTTGTTGCAGTTTTTAATATTTTCTGCTTTCTTTTCAGTTGAGGTTTTTATCTGTTTTACTTTGTTATTGTTGTTAGTTTGGTGGGGGGGTGTTTTATGTTTTTCTGTGTATGAAATCCAGGATAGGTAAATCTGTAGATAATAACTGGATTAATGGCTCCTTGGGGTTTTAGTAGAAGTTGGGGGGAGATGGGGACCCAATAATAATGAGTACAAGAAAGAAGAAAATGATATAAAATTGATTGTGGTGATAGTTGTGCAATATGGTAGAAACTATTGAATTATATGCCAAGAAAACGGTGAAAATAAATAAATAATAAACATGCAAAAGGGGAAGTTATCCACCTAGGATGTAAATTCACAGTATTATTCTCCCGTGCCTAAGTTCTCTCAAAATTGGGCACACTAAATAAATGCATTACCTCACTGACAGGGAGTGGGGGGCTGGAAGTTCCTTGGGACACTGGAGACTCTTAAAGACAAGAAGAGGATGTTAGACCCACTGCAGGAGTGCTGGTCCCTTTGGGGAGAGCTGAATCCCTTTCTTCATGCCTTCTATTATTCCATTAACACTCACTCCGCTCCCCTCGGAAGCAGGGCTCTGTGATGCTGAAGCACGCAGGAGACAGCATTCTAGTCCTTGACTTCCAGAAGCTGCCAGTCTTACCGGTCTGGGCAAATAATTACCATAAAAGGCAGAAAGGAGGTGCGGCCGGAGTGGCACAGGCAGTGTCAGGAAGTCCTGTCTGTGTGTCTATATGGCTGACCGAGCTCTCTGTTGCTCTGTGGCGTTTGGGGCTGGGCTTTGAGGAATGGAAGGGGGCAGACAGGGAATGTTCTGTGGGAAGAGAGGGCATTCTGGACAGGAAGACTCCCGAGCAGTTTTGACATGCCCAAGACCCCTGGTTTGGGGAGGCCATTTGCTTCAGATAATCTGTGGAACATGATCACGAGCTACGTTTCCCACATTCCAACAACCCTTTGCACACAGACTTCATTGTAATGCAAGGAAAGGGCAGAAAATGCCCGGTGCTTTTTGGGCAGTGCTGTATACTGTCTTCATTCTTAGGAAAATATGGTTCAAATAAATTCATGAAATACCTGGGAGGATTTGACTTAGATTTAGGAGATGAATTGTTCAAAATAAATGTAACTAATTTCCCTTTGGTGCATATTCAGCAGCATTCTAAAATATTAAAGCTTTTTATTTGGGTTCAACTGTGTTCTGACTTATCCTCTTATAGAAGACAATACCTAAAACTGGAAAACCAACAACTGAGAAGCTAGAAGAGGGTTCAAGTATGGGTAGGCCTTACACAAAAACAAAAACTCACCGCCGTTGAGTCACTTGCTGACTCGCCGTGACCACCTGTGGGTTTCTGAGACTAGAACTGTTCACAGGAGTAGAACTGTTCACAGGAGTAGAAAGCCCAGTCTTTCTCCCTTGGAGCTGCTGGTGGTTTCAAACTGCCAACCATGAGGATCACAGCCCAGTGCTTAACCATAGCACCACCAGGGCTCCTCTTTAGTAGGCCTTAGCCAGGCATAAAGGGAAAGCTATTCCTAGAGGCGAAGGAGCCCAGGTGATGCTATGGATTAGTGGTAGGCTGCTAACCACAAGGTCAGTGGTTCAAACCCACCAGCTGCTCTTTAGAAGAAATATAAGGCTGTCTGCTCTGTAAAGATGGCAGAACCCTAGAGAGCGGTGCCCAACGCAAAAGGGTTCAAGAAGACCTGTCTCCCACAGGAAGCAAAGCAGGATCAAGAAACCCTAAGAGGATGGCCACTAGATGGTGGTGAGGACAGGATAGAAAACAGCAAGGTGCATTAGAGGAAATTTAAGTACTTTCTTCAGTGTGCTGCTCCATGATACTGACATCAGAAATGATAGTGGAAAGGTAGTCAGGGTATCCGATCCTAAAAGACCATTAAAGGGAAATCAGAAAGAAGTGCAGGGAATTGACATGCTCAAATCAGCATGTTGAAAGACTTTCTGACTGCTAGCGGAAGAATGGATTATGAAAGAGACCCAATCTTGGTAACAGAGTGACCAGTTAGAGCTCTTCTAGACAAATCCAGGATGAAGCTGATGTGCTGAAGATAGTGGTAGGAATGGAGCACAGTAGACAGGTTTGAAGAATAAACTTAGGAGTTTAAATTGGCAGCA